ACTTATTCACCGTACAGTAAGAAAATTAAGTTCCTGGGTGGAACAAGAGCGAATACAAGTGCAAGTCAATTCGGTCTTATCCACTAAACAACAAGAAATTTCAAGTGCCAATAAATTCGCACGTCAAAGGAACATTTCAATTACGCCGCGCAATAAGAAATTACCTTCGTTGTTGGTTCAGTGGAGAGTTAACTCGCAACTACAAAAAGACTTCATTCTTTTGGGCCGAGAAGAGACACGACTTATCGACTAAAGAGGAACAAATTTAGGGGGATGGTTGGTTGAAGAGCGAATAAATTCGCACTTGCAAACAAGCATTTCCATTACGAAACTGGAACTTATGGAGTAAAGAGTAACAAATTTAGGGGGATGGTTGGTTGAAGAGCGAATAAATTCGCACTTGCATACGGGCATTTTCGTTACAAAATTGGGGGATACAAGTGCGAGTTAATTCTGACCTATGGACTAAACAGTAACAAATTAAGGGGGCTGGTTGGTTCAAGAGCGAATAAATTCACACTTGTAAACGAGCATTTCCATTACGAAACTGCGGGTACAAGTGCAAGTTGTTTCCGGCTTGTTCTGCGTGTAGTACGAGCCATAGATCGTCGCAAGAGAGAAACAGGGAAAGATGGCGTACTATTTTTTAAGATGGAGAAAGATTGTGAAGCGATGGGTAGACGGCGCATCGATGAAAATAGATGGAGAGAGATGGCGCACCAAGAGAGATGAATGGCGTTACAGTCTTCCCCCGAATACAACGTCCGGTCATTACAGCTGGATTCGGGTCATCTTTCAGTTTAAAGACAACTATAATGAACGTGCGTTGTATATTCCGGGGAAGAAGGTAGATGACGCAGAAAGGGAAAGAGATCACGAACTGATTGGGAGATATGCCGGAACGAGGGTGAGAGATTGCGCACCGATGGAGAAACATGGCGCAACAATGGAGATAGCAGGCGCAACGATGGTTAGCGATAGCACAACAATGGAGAAAGATGGCGCACCGAAGGAGAGAGAAGGACACATATGGCGCGACGATGGAGATAAATTAGGAAAGATAGCACAGCGATGGAAATAGATAACGAAGGAGATAGATTAGGAAAGATAGCACAGCGATGGAGATAGATGACGAAGGAGATAGATTAGGAAAGATAGCGCAACGATGGAGATAGATGATGAAAGGTCGGTAGAGATCGCGCACCGGTGGAGAGAGATGGAGAGAGGACGCGCAACAATGGTTAGCGACGCCGCAACGATGGAGAGAGAAGGCACAACGATGCTTAGCAATGGCGCATCGATGGAGATAGATGGCGCGCCGATGGAGAGACTTGCCGCAACGATGACCAAGATTTGTTATTGCACAACATCAGTTCCATTATCAAAGTGACATCCATCGTGTTGAACCTTTGTTAAGCATACCTGTCGCTTGTTTCGTGCGATTCCACAGTGATGGGCGGCTGCACCGACGACCACCTGAAACAACAATACAATGGCGATGGAGGAATCGAGCAAGAGTGATGGAGAGCCTCTGGCGCAGGGATGGAGGTTGCCCGGTGGTCGAGAGAGATTGCGCAGCAATGGAGTGAGATGGAGAGCGATCACTCAACGATGGAGGGAGATCGTGCAGCAATGGAGAGAGATCGCGCAGGAGCAATGAAGAAAAATCGCGCAGTGATGGAGAAGAGATCGCGAAGGCGCCAAGGTGCCCAACAAATCAGAGATAGCGATGGCCAGCGCTGCGATGGGATAACACTGGCCAGGGCTTCGATAACGATGGTCAGCGCTGCGGTGGAGAGCGATGGCGCACCGACGGAGAAAGATGGCGTGACGATGAGAAAGATGGCGCAGCAATGGAATGCGTTACAATGGCCAGCGCTGCGATGGGAGCGATGGCGATTGTCAGCGTTGCGATGGTCAGGCGAGCGTGACGGCTGCGATGGGGGATGGTCAACACTGCGGTGGAGAGCGATGGCGCACCGATGGAGAGAGATGGAGTACCGATGAGAAAGATGGCGCAGCGATGGAACGCGTTACAATGGCCAGTGCTGCGATGGCAGCGATAACGATGGCCAGTGCTGCGATGGGAGCGATGGCGATTGTCAGGCGAGCACGACGGCTGCGATGGGGGATGTCGCTTTGCGTCGCGATGGCGATGAGCTAAGCGCATCGATGGCGATGGTGCGTGGCAAGCGTTGGCGATGGCGATGAGCTAAGCACATCGATGGCGATGGGGTATGGCTAAGCGCATCGATATCCAACACCGTTGACATTTGCAAAATGTCTGAATGACAGCGACACCAGAACTTATAGATTTCCGGTGTTTTTGACCTTGACGCACAACGAATCGCCGCGCCTCGGCACGAAATAAACTGTCGCCTGGCCTCGGCGCGCAACGAACTGCCTCGGCGCACAACGAATCGCCGCGCCTTATAGATTCTTGCGCCTGACCTTGTGCGTCGGATCATGCCGATCGACGGTCCAGATTACAAGTGCGAAAATGACCTTGCCTGCCCCTTGTTTTCTGGAACTGTCTCATTATTGCACGCCAGAGTTGCCGGAGATTTTGGGGCCACAAGCATGTTTGTGGCTCCGTTCATCTGCGCCGTTCAAAATTGTTGATCGACAGCTGACAATTTTCGGTACCTCTTACCCGTTTATAGGCCCTGTCGTTTTATGGGTCCAGGCGTGCGATATGCGAATCGATAAGGCCCCACCTCGATCCCGACGCGAGGCCTGCTGCAGGAAAGTATAAAAGGCGTTGCCGCCCTCGCGTTATCCCTTTTGTTGTCGCTCCACAGGTCAAGTCGCGCTATCGTTTCTGCGCGCGTTCTGATATTTTGTCTTCTGTCCCCACCTCCTTCCGCCATAGCCCGTTCGCTCATCACTCTTCGTAGCTAGATTTCCATTCGCCATAGCCAGTTCGCTCTTCCTAGCTCGATATCCCTCTACCATAGCTGGTTCGGTGGTCACACATCCATATCCGTCCGACGTTGGTCGCTCGCTCAACGTACGACGAAGGTAAGATTCTGTAACTTGAGTTGTCTTGTTCTGTGTCCGATGTCTGAATGGATTCCCAGATGCCCTGTCTCTACCTGCAGGATATAACGCCGCAGTTGCCGCATGTTGAACCCCGAATCAATTCTCGGTTTTGTTGTTTCGCCAGCGGACGTGTTCTCATGTCTTTTCTCCACCCTCCACCTCCATCCGCTATAGCCGATCCTCGTTTTGCAGCTCGATGACCTTTCGCCATAGCCATGATAACGTTTGTATAAAGCTGCTCGATTCCCTTCTCAACTTGTCGTCGTCACTGCGCATGGTGGACCCCGATTCAATACCTAGTTTCTACACTGAACACCGAATCAATTCCCAATGTTCGCTCACCTCTCCCTTGTGAGGCTGCCGACCTGATATATATATATATATATATATATATATGTATATATATGTATATATGTATATATGTATATATGTAATATTACGAGTCAGTTCGCAGTTTGCGACGTACACTCCTGGAGGAGTTGTTAACCTCCGTCTCCGGAACTGATAGTTAGTTCGCACTTGTAGACACCCATGTCGTGCGTCTTTCACGTCTTCAGCTACACAATTCCGAGTTAGTTTGCACTTTTCCCAAGATAAGCCGCATTTTCTCAAACGTGACTTTCACGTTTCCAGTACTGCGGGTTGCAATTGTTGTCTTGTCTCCAGAACTGCGAGTTAGTTCGCACTTGTCGATACCCTTCGCACTTGTCGATAAACCACATCTTACTCGTTTCGAGGGCGGCGAGTCGGGTCGCAATCTTTCCGAAGAGTTTTTGTCTTCCTTCCGAACTAACTCTGCCAGAGGAGTGTTGTATTTCCTCAACTTTACCGAATTGTTTGGACTTCGTTTGCATTTCAAACATCAATCTCATTCGTCGGTTTCCTTCTTCCCAAAACTGCACGTCGGTCCCCCCTTGTTCAAACCCCTTGTCGATTGCATTCCCGGCGGAACTCCGAGTTAGTTCGCACTTTCCTGAAGATACATCACCTCTTCCTCGATTCTAGGACTGCTGCTTTTTCTCTCCTTTGCCCAATTGTTGTGACTTCGTGTGCATTTCGAACACCCATCTCTTACGTCTTTTTCGTCCTCCATTTCGTCAAGTCCGAGTTAGTTCGCACTTTGCTTCTGTAGTGTTAGGAAAACCTCGTTGCTTTCCTCCCGGTCATCCGATTTGGTCTGAGGTTGGGCGTATTAGTCAACGGGTGGGAGTACAATGGCGTCCGCAAAGAACACATCCACAAGCGCTGGGTCATCTGCCCCCGGGGTGGGACGACCTCTTCAACAATCTACTCCTCCGTATGTCCATACAATGGAAGCACAATGGTTTTTGGACTTCAGGGGAACCGTTTTGGGCCAGTTGTTTTGATGCGACCCACTTGCTTTCCGGATGCTGAGGGAGCGGACAACGTTCTTCCTCTCGGTACCATCGTCTCGTTCCACAAGATTTCTGGAGGTTTGCTCAAGCTGCAGACAAACGTCTTGTACGACCACTACCTTTAAGAGATGTCAAGGGTGTGATAGTGACCATCAAGAGTTTCGCGGGGTACGGCTCGAACAGGCCGCTGTGCCCTCACTTCAAAGGGCTTTACGATGGCAATCGTCTTCCACTGCCAGTGCAATACCTCGGTCTCGCGCTGAAGGTGCCGAAAGAACATCCGGTTCTTCCGCGAGAATATGTTTTCCGGCTTCTGCCATCCCATGAGAGGTCGTCCGGCTTGGCTCAAGAAACTGTTGAGACGCCAGTGGGGCACGGGAGTGCGATTCAAGACGCCGAGGGTCGGGGCAAGGGGCACACACACAAAATTCACACGCAGGTCGGCCCGGATGCTCCTGGGAGCACATCAAACTTGCATTCTCCAGATGCAGGGACTCTCCGGGCCGGAACTCCGAAAATCCTCAAGGTCCGCTTCCAGGGCGACACGTATTCGCTTCGAGATGAGACGGGAAGAGAATCCGGCAGATCGGGGCAAGAGGTTGGAGGGAGTGAGGCTGAAGGGATGGGCGCTGTACGCGAAAGCTCTGGCGGGGAGCCGACTTCTTCGGAGAAGAAGCGCGAGCGACAGAGGATGGTGCGAGAGGAGGTGGCGAAGGAAACCCGCTGCATGAAGAGGATGAAAGGACAATCGGAGGCGGTGATGGGCGGGGATGGAGGTGATGTCAGAGAACGTGCCTCGGGAAAGAGGGTGCCTGGAATTTGTGGCGGACAAGAACATGGAGCCGGAAAAAGGCAGTCGAAGGAAGAGGGTGCGACGGCAAGTAAGAAAGCGAGGAGGCCCAACGGTTTGACCATCCGCGAAGGACAAGCCATGGGTGGAGGAGATTCGGCTCATCAAGGCGCTGCGGCCACGGGAGAACCTTCGGGAAAATCCAAAAGGAAAGTGGCAGCTGAAGAAGGCGATGGCCAGAAGAAACCTCGAAGGAGGAAGACTGCTGAGGCGGCGAGCGGTGGCGAATGGGCTGTCGGTGAGCAGTGCGATGAAGCGGCAGCGTTCTGGCTCGAATACGAGCGGAACGATGACGATGATATCGTGGAGAAGGTGCTCCCCGTCCAACTGCTCATCGACCCCAGGAAGGTCTGCGACATCCTGCCTTGGGAAGGATATTACAACCACCGCAGTCTCAATCGTGAAAGTGTAGACGACATCAAGGCTGCGATGCTAAGTCAGTTCCACGGGGAAAAGGGGAAAATATGGACGAAAAACCCTTTGGTTCTGGCACCCATCTACAAGCCGGTGACGCGTAGGCCGGAGAAAGTTGACAGGGTTCACAAAGACGTCTTCAAGCCAGAGGACAAGGACAAGTACTACTATTACCCTGTCAACGGACAACACACCGTGGCTGCTGTGAAGGAGCTGGTGGATGAGCCAATATTCGATTTGTGGAAGATGCACTCGTGGCCGTTGAGAGTAGTGTGGTTCTCCGACGAAGATTTCGCGGGGTATATGCAGGTCAGTCTCAACGAGAACACGAGACACAAGATGTCCAAGCACCGATCGCAGACGGCCGCGTTCGAGGATATGCAGGAGGCATGGGAGAAAGAAGGTAGGCCGGTGGCCATTCAAGGGAACCCTTCCGGCAAGGAGGCCGAAAAACAAGCGTTCTTCAAATTCCAAAAGCTGCTTTTGGGAAAGAGTCCGAACGACGCCCACTGGACGTTGGCAAAAAAAACGCTAACGCTCGCCGACAAGGAGTATGTCGCTGCCGTTGGCAATGCATTGAGGCAATGGATGTCGCTCGTGACGGCCGATGATAACGTTTTCGTAAAGGCATGAACTTCTACGAGAAATGGGCGGAGGGGAAGTTGTTGGGCGGCGACGGGAAGATGCCATTGTCGAGGCCGGACAAATACATGCCAGACAAATCTCAGGGTCTTCAACCAATTCCGGAAATGGGCTCGAAAGGAGCGGCTGGTGAAACGAAGATGGGGTGGCTGGTCCGGGTCCCATCGCCTCCGACCAAAAAAAAAAATGCAAGCGAACGACAAGTTTTTCGTGGTCGTGAAGGAGCCGGACATGTTCTGTTGGCAGTGTCTCGCCGACATGACCAATGCCGAAAAACTGTCGATCCTCGACGACATTCTCGCACTTAGGGGAGTGTTCGTGCAATCGACGGGCGGGCATCTGAAACGTCAACATAAGCCTGGAATTAAACTTGAAGACATGGTCGTGACGACGAAAGTGGACCGCGTGATGCTCCGTATGTTTCACTACATCTTGTTCCTTGAAACGGAGGAGGACGAAGGTGTTTGGCGCTACGGGAGCACTTTTTTCCGGACTGAGGGGCAGCTTCTGCCGGAGTTCGGGCCGCAGGGACTCACGAAATAGGTGTGGGTAGAACTGCGAAAGCATTTTCAGGGCGCAGTGGAGTACGTGAACACTTGCAAACGTACTATTCCGCACGAGAAGAAGTTCCTTCGAGGACGCGAAGAAATTGTACGAGGACGACGAGTTCCCTAAATCTTTCGAAAAGTCTGTCCGTTCCATCTTACGACGGATTGAAGAAGAAGTTTGAGACATGATCAGGGTCAGCGGGGATGTGAGGCACATCAAATGGCACAACCTCAAGCGGGTGACCAGCCTTATTCCTTTCGCTTTCCCGCCTTCCCAAGCTTACAGTTGTATCACTGAGATCCGTGAGATTGTGCGACATTACGTGTGCAACTTGTATGTCCTCGATTTGTGTGATCCCACACTCCTCGCAGACTGGCGAGAAGACAATTTCACGAACTTGCAAGGCGTTCTCCAAACACTGTCGCCAACGTACTGGGCACTTGTGGTCTTTTTCCCCGCTCGTTGGGAGCTCAGTTTCTTGAGAGGCATGGCCAGGCTTAGCGTCCAACACGTCAGGACAGGGAAGTGGGTGCGCCATGCACAAAAACCGGCCACTGTAAGGGAAGGCAATATGCTGGTTGAGGAGTGTGACCGCCTGTACGTGATTTTCAATGGCGAGAACCTGACAGACAACACAGTCGCAGTCTACCCGGCCAGTAGCCCGACAAAGGTTTCCCGTGCTCATGGTCCAAGTCCGGCCAAACACGCGGTGGCGGCCCGCTCGAAAGCTGTGTGTTCATCGGACCCGTAAGGACAGGCTGTGACGTGTTTCAACATGGCGGACGACGACAGGTTCCCTCGCAGCATGTGGGAGGACGGCGGCGTGACAAGTTCTCGTGGACCAGCTTACGGGGACATGGAGCGGAACCCGTCCCATCTGCTTGGTCTACTCGAAAACTTTTGCAAAGCTGGGCAAACTGTTTTCTTCTTTGGGAAGGCGCATACATCTGTCATGTGGGAGCTCCTGCGCAACGGTCGGAACGTAGTCGCGTTGGAGGATAAGGCGAACATGATTGATTACCTTAATGAGTTTGTGAAGACACGCGTGACAGACACTCGCAATGATTGCACTTTTGTCCAGACCACCGGCAAACGAAACTGGGATCCCAAACGTGACATGTATTGGAAATTGTCGGGGAACAAAAGAACGGAGGTTTGGGACTTCCGTTTCCAACCCGGACCGCCTGCTCAGACCGACCTCGAATACAGTCGACGGAGAAACCTGGTGTTCAGTGTGTTGAATGGGTACCACGATGCACCCAGGGAGTCTGTCTCGCATTTCCTAAGAAGGCTGGAACACGTTTATTTCGTGATGACCGAACCGCTCACCCTCGAAAACTACAAGGCACAGTTTGACGAGGAGGACCCTTTCGACGCTGAAGACATGGAGGAGCTGAGCGACTCCGAAACCTTCGATTTTGAGTCCATACAACTTCCTCAGGTGGTTGGACAGGTTGCTGATGAAGGGGAAGGTGGTCCTCGGAGATATAGCACGTCCCCTGCCGGTTTGAAACGTGTGTTTCAGCGCGAACCACTCGACGACCAATCGTCTGATGACGGGGAGGAAGAGAGAGACTATGATTACAAACCTTCTGACAAGCTCCCTGTGGACCATGATACATGGAAGAATGACAGACTCTTCTTCTTCGACAAGCATCACCGGTTCACGCCGGAGGATGTATGGGGACACAACGTCGTCTGGCACCCGAGGATATTCCAACCTGCTGTGAAGAATGGAAGGTGGGTCATGGCAATGAAGGAAGCCGATGGCAAGTGGAGTGGAATCAACAGACTTGGAGTGAGTCCATTTAAGAAAAAGGCGAGAGGTGCTCTGGTGGAGCATTTGAGGGTTATGAACCCCGACAGGAGCCTGCCGGATGTCGATGCGTATGCAGTCCAAAAGCTAGATGAGTTGTACGCCAAAAAGATGTAGGAGTTTCGTGCGTATTTCTATGCACTGGAGACGGCACCGTCTCGTGCCATTGACTGGCGCATGCCGCAACCTCCGTCGAGCGGTCAGCATCCGGGAAGCGGTGGAGGAGGAGACGAAGGAGGCGGCGGAGGTGACGGAGGAGACGGCTCACGATTTGCCGGAAAGGGGGCGGGCGAAACATCGTCGGGAGAAAAGGCGTCTGGCGGAAAGGGGTCAGTCGGAAAGGGGTCGAGCGGAAAAAGGTCGGCTGGAAAGGGGTCGAGCGGAAAGGGATCAGGCGGGAAGGGGTCGGGCGGGAAGGGGTCGGGCGGAAAGCGAAGAACGTCCGGGAGTCCCAAGCATAGGAAAACTGACAGCCACTGCCTAGGGAGTCGTGATTCCGACATGCGAGACGTGGCCACCCTGAGGTCTGATCAAGCGCGAGTAGATTCGCACTTGTCTACGAGGACTTTCAACAGAAAAAATTTTCAAAATTAAATAATCATTCTATAGTAAAATTACGTTCTAAATTTTAAATTTTCATTCCATCTTAAAAAATGTCATTCCAATTTAATTTTTTTTTGTCTTACTTGAAAATTTTCCTTCCAAGAATAGGGTATCCCTTCTTATTTGAACTGCATGCTAGAGATGGAATGAAAGTCTGGATAAGTTCATGAAATATTTTAATTAGAGTGTCATTGTAAGTAAGGATTTTCAGTTATAGATAGGTTGATCCAATCTAAATTAGAARATATTTGTTGTAGTAGAATGAAAGTTTAATTAAAACATTTCATAAACTCATCCAGACTTTCATTCCATCTTGAACAAATAAATGTAGTTGGAAGGGAAAACTCATATTTAGACGGGATCTTATCAAATAAAACTTGAAATTTTAAAATTGGACAAACATTGGAATGATAATTTGTAAATACGAAGGATTTTTTTTTTGTGGAATGTTTTTTCAACTTTAATTTCTCGTGGGAATTTTTCTGTTGTTGTTTCCCGATGGCCAGGAGAGTCCATCCCACCGTGCGCAACAGAGGTCTCCTGTGCACAACACCTTGCTCCTGGAAGAGGGCGAACGTCTGCAGCATCCGGCAACATCTCGTGAGCGGCGAAACCATTCCTTGATTGAAACTGCGTCTTCGTTTTGCCTGGAGGGGGGGATGCCTGCATTGCGAAGGAGCGAAGGTGCGACCGTCACTTCTATCAGCTCGGGCGAGCGCCACAAACTCCGAATAGATTCGGAGTTGCTGACATTGCCCTGCAGGCCTTCCGCCAGAAGTGCTCTTCACGCTATAGTTCCGCAGGGCCAAGAAAATGTGATGTCCTACCCCCGACATCTTCAGTTGGGCACAAGGTTCCCCTGCTCACCTCCGTTCTCATATGTTGAGACTCGAGACTGGCGGTTTGGCGACGTGCTGGAGGGGCCCACTGTAGGAGTGTTGGAGACCGGGGGTGGCGAGTATGAACGTCATGCTTCGGAGGGCATGCCAGTCGACGTTGACAGCAATAGTGCAGCGGCTCCTGGGGAAGAGGAGCGCTCTCCGGGAGCGCCGCATGCTGTACAGCGGGAAGAGGAGACTCAACACTGGAAGTCTCGCAAAGTGTTGGGGACCGGGGGTAGCGAGTATGAACATCATGCTTCGGAGGGTGCGCCCGTGGACACTGACAGCGAGAGTACAGCTGCTCCAAGGGAAATGTGTGCTCTGCAGCAGGAGTGCTGGTGATCGGGACGTCCGAAGAGGTTCCGCACAGTCGTTCGGCTGTGGCCACGACGCGAGAGGGTGTCGTTAAAGGAGGTTTGTGGACGTTCGTGCAAGCTCCTGTTCTTGGCGATGATGAAGGCGAAGAAGAACCTGTGGTGGAAGCTCGGGTTTGTGGCGATGAGAAAGGCAGAGAACCCATGGTGGAAGGCGGTGAGGTGACGGTCGGCATCCAGATGGATCTACAGCGGAAAGATGGTGATTCTTCGCCCACCCGTTGCGTTGAAGAACAGGGTGATCGAGCGTCCGTCCTCAGTACCGGTCGGGAAATGGTAGTTCATGAAGCCATCGAGTTGGGTAACGACTCGGCTGCCACCGAGCTGGTTAGCAACTCAGGCATGACCGAGGTGCACAACGTCGAATCCTCCATGGAAGGCGGTGAGGTGACCGTCAGTGTCAAGATGGATCCAGAGCGGAAAGATCATGATTCTCCGTTCACCCGTTGCGGTGAAGAACAGGGTGACCGAGTGTCTGTCCTCAGTACCGGTCGGGAAATGGTACTTCATGAAGCCATCGACTTGCCTAGCGACTAAGCTGCCACCGAGCTGGTTAGCGACACAGCCGTGGCCGAAGTGCAGAACGCCGAATCCTCCATGGACGTTGGCGCAGTGGCTCGACAAGAGGGCAAATTCCCTCAAAGCGCGCCCGACCACGGTAAGATTTGTGAATAGGAACACTCGCATATCTGTCACTAGCCAACTCTGTGTTCGTCCAAATTGATGTGATGGGCTCATGTACCTATTACCACTTGTTAAAAAAAAGCTTGTGGGCTGTGGGTTGTTTTCCATGTTTTACAGGTGTGAGGTTGTCAATGTCCCTGCCCATGAAGCCTTTTAAAGTCGCCCGCAAGAAATGTCTTTTAGGGAGGTCATTGACCACTTTACCGAAGAAGTCGTCGAGTGTAGGTTTGTTTAAAAGGGTCCAGATGCCTCGCCTTTCCCAGAGAGTTGCCAGGGTTCTGAAGGCTTGTGGAATAGATAAGGAGGAAGGTTTGCGGAAACATTTGGCTGCGTCTATTGAAAGCGTTACTGCTTTGTCTGATGGGTCTGATGACGATGCCAAACGGGGTGTCTTGAAAGACCCGTGTTCTAAGTACATCGCGAAGGACACATTCAACAGTTGGGGATAAAACTTCTCTGGGAAAAGGGCAGACAGTTCTTAGCCATTTCGCCCCCGTGATTTTGGTTACTCCTCACACTTGTTCGTGGGTGTTTGTGCAGTTGGGGCTACATCATGTTTCCGCGTTCCCTTGCGTACTGCAGAGCTTAGCGCTACGGACTTGAGAATGTTGCAGGACGTCTGTGGAGATTTCAGCAACGGCCACAAGGTGGTTTCATCGGTTCGCAAAGGGCCCAGTTCAGTTCCGTTGAGCAGAAAAAGTCTTCAAACTCTTGTTCAGGGGGAATGGCTTTCCGACGAGGTGGTGGAGTCAGACTTGGCCTTGCTTACCAACGCTGCGTTGCCTGGGTATCCCTCTCTTTACATTTTCAGTCTATTTTTCTATACCAAGCTCGTCGGTGGCGGCTATCGACATGATAGGGTTGCGAGATGGACAAAAGATGTGGATATTTTCTCATACGAGATGGTTTTGATTCCTGTCCATAAAAATCGAGTGCATTGGACCCTATTGTGTGTCCGAGAACAACGGTTGAAGTACTACGACTCCCTCCTACAAGACGATGGCGATTTTTCTTCTGATGTGATTGCGAACTTCACGCAATACCTCCGTGACGAAGCAGTTTGTCACTATGGTCAAACAACGAAACTGGATCTCCAGGAGCCCAAAGTGGTTGTTCATGGTGTCCCTCAACAATCGGACGGGTCGAGCTGCGGTGTTTTCATGCTCACCTTCGCTTCATTTTTTGCACGCGGCTATCCACCACCATTTTCGATAGCCCAAAAAGACATTCCAAACATCAGGCTGATGATTGCGGTGGACATACTCCAAGGATATGAATGATAACCCTGTTTTTAAAATTCGTGTAGTTTTTTATTCGAAAGGCCATAAGCAGAAGTGCGAATCTATTCCCACTTGGTCTAGCAGTCGGCCGGTTCGAGCTGTGCTATTGTTTTGATGAGGTACCGGATGTCAGTGGATGTTTTGATCAAGTAAACGCTTAGGTGTCAATATGAATATCCCGGCCTCGTGCTGTAGCAATTTTTTAAGGGTTCTTCATTTCGAGGAACCTGTCATATTTACTCGTAGGACTTTCGACAGCGCCGTGCTGCCACGCAACATCAGCTAGAGGGTTGCAGCGGACGCTTACGTGAAGTACAAGCTTAGATTCCGATGTAAATATCCTAGCCACGTGGTGCAGTATCTTTTAAGTAGATGCTTTCCTATCGGATGTGAATATCCCAGCTTTATGCTCCCTTTGTTAGTTTACGAATTGTTCTCCGTATGTCCTCTACGACCGCGGCAGCACCGTGCTGCGCTTGTTCGTTTCCATGTTGTGCTCCTGTGTTACTCATGGGACGTCTTCGTCCTCTTGTGGACATTGTTTACACTCGTGCTCGTGGGGCTCGATACTCTGGTTCATTTAGCAAGATATTGGTGAAAGATATCCACGGTTTCTTCTTGGTCGCCAAATTATTTCGTGCTTGTCTCTATCTTTCGCGAGACTTTGTAATGTGAAAGCCCCCCTCCCCCACCCCACCCCGACCGCTCAGCTTTCATATGTTTTGGCTCGCCCCTGTTCACCCCCTCTGCTTGTCTCCATTGAATGCTGTCTGTTGGTTCCATATGACAATTGCGAACTTGTTCTCCATTCGAAAACCAGTTATCGCCATAATGTATGTGTGCTTGAAGTTGTTTTACGGATTCAGTGGTGCACTAAATGATTATCGATTTTGTTATCCCCAGAATACATCTCGTGCTCTCCACGGAATGATGGCTGTTGTTTCCGTATGATAAATGCGAACATATTCGCACTTGGGATGCCGTGTATTTGTGATTAAACCGTTCATGTCCACAAATTTGCCAAAATGATTACTTTTTGTGCCGTCAATGCTAGCTTGTTCGCAAAAAAAGATATTTTTTACACAAGTTCGCAAAAAAGGATATTTTTTTTACAGACCTTCTGTCTTATCCACAAAATGGATAAATCGTGAAAAAGATTGTCATTTGAGTCATGTCTTGCCGGATGTGAAATTGGCTCAATGTACTTTGTGATTTTGGGAAAGCCTCCGTGTGCTTTGCAATGTGGGATTGAATGATTTTTTGCATTCAATTACTTTTGAAAACGCCTCTGTATACTTTGCAATTTGCCATTGACTGGATTTTTTGCATTGAATGATTTCTGAAAACAAGATATACTTGTTGGGATGGATATGTGTCTTCGCCACACAAGGATTTGATGACAGTTTCATCCGGGAATATACAAATGACAAGTCAATGTCCATATTAAATCATCGCGCTGTTGGAGTGCGCGCCTGCTTCTCCATCAAAGTGCGAGTTCAATTGCACTTTTGGTGTAAACCCTGAGCAATCCCCTCGCACTTTGCTTGACGTCAAGGAGGGGATCGAACGCACCGCCGGTAAGCACCTGCACATCACGAAACAAGAACACGTCCCAATTGGAACATCGTCGGGTTATTGCGATGTTGACTCCCACATGATGACTACAATGAACAGCGGCACAATGACCGGTCCGCTTCTCCGATGTGGATCTAACGATGGATTGCGTCAAATCTGCTGTCATAGATCCACACCAGGGATGGGGGCCGGGATCCAACCACAGTTTGCTTGTAAAGCATCATGTGATGTGTCGATATAACCGACATCCAGAACTGATTGGTGAGCATCTAGTGCTACGCCAATAAGTTCCAAACACGGTCGCAAAGTCCCCTAAGAGTGTTCATTGTCAGTTCCTCACGTCGTCGATTCCCACGTGATGAGTACAGTAAACAACGGCAGGATGGCAGGTCCCCCTCGCCGGAATGGATCTAACGGTGGATTGCGTCAAATCTACTCTCAAAGATCCACTCCGGGTAGAAGGTCCTGCAATCAGCCACTCCTTGCTTGTAAGCATCATATGATGTGTCCATACAATCGACATCCAAAACTGTTTGGTGAGCATCTAGTGCTACGCCAATAAGTTCTGAACACGACCGCAAGGTCCCCTAAGAATGCTTTTAGCACTAAAGTCCTCAAACCACCGACTGTTTGGCACTTCGTGAAGGTGGTCATTTCTACCGATGCAGAAGGTTCGTGATGACTTGCATTGCTTGTATACGTGCCGATGGGTACTCGGCGTTGCATACATGTAGTAATGGCACAGAAGGACCTCACACGCTGCGGACATGCAAATTCCCTGGGAGTGCTAATGACAATCCGCGCCTACAACTGATGACGTGCGGGAAACAAATACACAGCCATCCCCAACGACTGCTTGACACTTCTTGAAGATGGTCTGACACTTCTTAAAGGTGGTCAGTCACCAAACAGATCACGACCTGACATCAACCTCGCATTAACGTTCCCGTCCGAGTGCAAATGGCAATCCGGGAAGACTGCCAATGAGTGTTTGACCACTTCCTTAAGGTGCTCTGTCGAACACCGACAACTGCGAATTGACTCGCTGTTTAACTACAGTCTCTCTCTCTCTCTCTCTCTCTCTCTCTCTCTCTCTCTCTCTCTCTCTCTCTCTCTCTCTCTCTCTCTCTCTCTCTTCAGCGCAGCGGGTACGTAGTAACCCAATCTTGTATCGCCCGCCTTTACCCCTGCGCATTGATTTCATTTCATGCTCAATTGCCGTGTTGACGGATAAAGATGCACCACAATTGCCGAGACTCACATCTCCGCGAGTCAGAACTGCGCGATGCATCACATTTGTCAGGCTCAGTGCGGGCAAGGTCCTCAGAGTCTTATACAAGGGATTTGTCAACGACTAACTGAGAATTTATTCGTAGTCTAAGATTCCGTCATGTACCTTTGCTCGTAAAAATTAATGACCCGCTTAGAGCGTCCAATTTTTGGGGTTCGTGACGCTGTCGAGCGCATTGGTCTTCATCCTCGTCACGAATACATATTGACCTTCCGCCAACCGCTCTGGCTGTGTGCGCCAGCCATACATCTCGCGAGCCCCTACGACATGATATGCACTACGCGAGGCGCGACTTACGTCCACCTTACAGGAGTTGTCACCTCCCTTCGGTAGGCGTATCCCCACCGAGCTACCAGTCCACAGTACGAAAGCTGGTCAATTGAAATCGCAGAGGTGGACCAGCCGATGACGTTTCTCGTTCGCTGTACCATATGGGGTACGCGCGGTCCCACACATCTGCCGGGCCCGCACGTGAACTGGCGCACTGGTGGGGGGCTGATGTCTGAGGCCACTACGATTCGACGTCGGTCGACTAGGACGTATCAATATCACTACGGACGTGAACCGGCGCATGAAATTCGACGTCGGTCGACTAGGACGTATCCCGCTCACTACAAACATAATATGAAAAATAAAACGTGTACACACACACACGAAACGACAGAAAACAACATAATAACAACGCGACAACACTCCTACTTCCTTCAGTAGGCATCCCATAACTTTGCGTGGCCGAAATTGGATAGCCGACACTCGCGAGACTTTGTATAAA